TCCGCCTGCACGTAGAAATGCGGTACAGAAGGCGCCCGCGGTTCGAATCAGCCACTTGGTATTGGAACTTGGAACTGGAAGTATTTTTGTGGAGTGCTTTACTCAGAGAGCTTTGAGAAAACCTCATATAGAACGACGCAATTTGCGCACGCCCCCCATAGCGCATCGCAGGCTTACCGCAGCTCCTCGCGCAGGCTGGCCGTGGCGAAGGCCTGCTCGCGGGACTCCTGGACGGCGAGCTCCTTGAGGCGGCCGAGCTGCCGGATGCGCTGGTCCTTGTCGCGTATCTCGAGCCGCTGCGCCCGCCGCCGGCTCTCCTCCTCGGCCAGGACGCGGGCGTGCAGCGCGCGGTGGTGGCGCCGCCGCTTCTGGTTGCTGCGGTGCAGGCGCGCGCGCACGTGCTCGCGGTGCTCGCGGGCGCGCTCCTGGGCGCGCAGCGCGGCCCCTTCCTGGAGAGCGGCGCAGCGCTCGCGCCACAGCTGCAGCCCGTGCTCCAGGTCGGCGTGCATCGCCAGCGCGTCCGAGTGCTTGGCGTCCCGCTCCAGGCTGCGGTCACAGAATTCCACGGGTGTCAGCCCAGGGCGCAGGCAGGCCCGTCGGACACAACTGTAGTGCGGCGTTGCCTTCCCGCCCGCCGTCAGGCGCGCGGGCCGCCCGGGGCGTGGGCAGTCCCGTCGGACAGAGCTGTCGTACGGCGTTGCCTACCCGCCCGCCCTCAGGCGCGCGGCCTGCCTCCTCACCTGGCTTGCAGCGCTCGCTGCTGTCGCCGCCGCCGGATCCTGCCCTTGTTGGCGGCGGCGCGCTGGTGCCGCTCCCTGGCCGACGCCCTCAGCACGCGCGTGCTCTCCTCGGCCTGCACCGCGAGCACGGACGCGCGCTCCAGGCGGCAGCGCTCCCATTCGCGGTTTGCGCTCGCCGCCCTCTGAAAATGCCGAGTCGTGGAAGAAAAAGAACATGCGATGTTACCAAAATGAAAAGGCAAGTTTTCGAATGAGAGACCGACCAGACGCTCCTGTTCCGTGGCGCGCTGCCGTCGGCGGTCCGCCTCCGCCTGGCGGGAGCGCAGCTCTTCGTCCAGGATGCTGCGGTATCTCGTCTCGCCCTCCTGGATGTGCAGCAGCTTCTCCTCCACCTCGAGGCGGCGCGACGCGTACTCCTTGCTCCGCTCGCCCTGCAGCACCATGCGCTGCACGTCCTCCTCCAGCACCCGCAGCTGCACGCGCTCCTCCTTGAGGCGGATGCTCTCCCGCAGCCTCTGCTGCGCCAGCCGCAGGCTGCGCTTCACCGCCTCCATCCTGTGCGACAAAAGAGGGGTTCAAGGGGACGCTAAATCTCGGCCTAAGTATTTTCGTGGTTCGTAGAAGACTCTGTACCGTCGGGCGTTCTCCTTGGCCTCCCACTGGCGCCGCGCGTTCACGCTGGCCTGCCACTTTGCCGCCCTCTCCGCCTCCTCCTGTTAACGAAAGTCAACGTTTCGGTTGAAAACGGCCCACTTTGGCGTTGACGTGACGTTATAAAGATTTGATTTCGACTTGATGGCTGACGTGACGCACCTGCCGCCGCTGGCGCCGCTCGCGCTCCCACAGCTGGTGCGCCCGGTGCGCCACCTCCTCGTCGCGCCGCTCTTGCTGCTTCTTCATCGCCATGCTCTCCAAGATGCGGCGGTCGTGCTCGGGCACCTCGTCGCCCAGGCCGAGCCCCAACACGCTCCTGCAACACCAGTGACGAGGGTGGTCTCGGTACCGCGTCGGGGAAGTCAGGCGGACACTGACGGTACGGGCGGCACAACCAACACAACTATCATCGCGTTAGTCTGTAGACAGGCGTCCTCGCGGCGGGGCGGGGCGGCAGGGTGTGCCAGGGGCGTGCCGCCCGCCTGTCAGCCGATTAGCCTGTCGGAAGGAGGAGGCCCACTGGGAGTGTCGGCCGCTGCTGTCCACTCTACACTTACCCGGGCAGCCAGGACCCCAGGTCGCTCGGCGAGGCGGTGCCCAGGCGACTGGCCGTCGCGGAGGCCCGCAGGCTCTGCAGCGCGTTCTCGCAGCTGTGGAACGTGCTGCTGCCCCGGCCGCTGTCGCAGTCCTGGACCACGACGGACACGGCCGCGGACGACGTCGCCTTGCGCGGCGACGGGCAGGATGCCGTCGTCGAGCCCCGCAGGCCCCTGAGCAGCAGGGCGCGCTTGCTGCTCAAGCGCGAGAGACCGGGCCGGGCGGCGCGCCGCCGTGACCTCCGCGACGAGCACCGCGACTCGGACAGCGAGGAGGGCGTGCCAGAGGACGGCGGCCGCGGCTGGCGCCGGCGGGGCGGACCCGGAGGCACCGGTGGACGGTGCGCTGGCACGGACTTGGCCTGGCCCCAACAGTCCACGAGCACGGTGCGAGGCCTGCTGGCAGGAAAGATGGTTACAACCAGGGGTACCAGGAGTTCTGCACTCCCTCCAACCAACCAACCAACCATACCTGTCCACCTCGGACGCAGGGGTGCTCCGCAGGCTCAGGCTGCGAGCGCTCCTGGCTGGGCTGGTCGACGCACTGAGGTTTGGGCTGATGGCCAGTCCCCCCAACCGCAGGTCCAGCCTGGAGCCAGGCTTCGACTCCTGGCGGGATTCAAGCCTGGAACCCTGCCTGGAATCGAACCCAGATTGAGAATCGACCCTCGCCGTGTTTTCCCTGTCCAGGATCTCCTTTCGGGATGGGGATGCCGACGCTGGAGGCGTCGAACACGGGGAGCTGAATGTGATGACCTTACTGGCCTTGTTGACGTCGGTCGATGGTACCCGGACGACAGGTCTTTTCACCTCGGACATCGGCTGCGACAGATCCTTTCTGTTCTCAAGCGAACGGAGGACATCCCTCTTCACTTCCGGTGAGGCCGACCTCCGGCGCGAGTCGGGTGATGGTGTCCTGAGTGAGTCCGCCTTGTTCTTGGGGGAGTCGGGAGAGCTTGCCTTGAA